AAGTTTATTATTAATGAGTAATAGGGGCACGTTTTTGATCGATAACATATGATGCTCATCTAAAAGCCGTCCGTTCTTTGCTCGTATATTCACTATCATTTTAGTTTGCTAATTTTGTATATTTTTTTTTTTTTAAGTTTTCATTTTTTAGTTATATTATTTTTAAGAGGTTAAAAAATGGGTAGTCAGTCGGACTGGAATAATGATATGAATGAATATTCATCCGTAGAAATAAAGTAAAAATATAAATTGCTTTATTAAATTGGTTTCATAATTTAGTTCTATCCGTATCTCAGTGAAGGAGGGAGGCGGGGACTCTAAGCAAAATTTTAAGTGACCCTGCATCCAACACTGGCAATGCCCGATTGACAATGGTACCCTTGAAACCGTACTCAAGTCAAGAATGGAATTTTCTCTATTCTATTTTCACTATTTCTTCTTATAAATAAGTAGTATCGCAGAGAAACCACAAAGGAAAATTAACAGTTAAAAGAAATTTAAACATTGATGTATATTTCATGCTTGATTAGACAAAGATTTCTAGGATATCCTTGTAAATCGTGCGTTGTCATCTTTGTTTGGAGGGTCTCTAGAAATTTTGCTTACAGTCCCTTTAAAACGGTTCATTCACTTATCTAACTTTAAAACTGGAATCAATTTTCAACACAAAAAAAGTTTTTTTAAATGTAAGCTCTGTGTTTGATGATGTTCAAAAGGTAATTAAAAAAGAAGATTTTTTGAACATTTTCTTAAAACATTTTTGTATTTCTGTTTAAAATCAAAAAACAAAATCCAACATTAAAAAATCTAATATTAAACTTCCAATTAATTAATTTTTCTAGAAATTCTGAGAAGCTCACAGAAGAAGATGATTTTGATTATTATTATACTGATGATAACATAGCGAGGAGGAGAGAGGAAACCGACCTGAAAGGCATTGGTACTTATCATTGAGTAGTTTTAAAGAAAATATCAAGAAGTTTTAGCTCCTCACAACTTATCCAGTATGTATGACAAGGACAACCCTTCATTAACGATTCGTTAATGACGACCCTTCTAATTGTTAACCACACCCTTCGTTTACGACTTTAACAACGACCCTTCATTAACGATCATCAACGACACCCTTTGTTAACAATCATTTACAACGACCCTTTGTTAATGATGGTTAATGACAACCCTTTGTTAACGATCGTTTTGTAAAAATCGTATAAAAGACGATTGCTTATCGTTTTTTTTTCAAAAACAAAACAATCATTTTTTTCCTCAAACAAGACGATCGTTTTTGAAAACAATTGAAAACGAATCGAAAAACTAAGCTGTTTTCGGAAACGATTAACAACCCTGTTGTGATGTGTTGAAACTCAAAGTTTTAGAAAGCCAAAATTGGCAACATATGATTCCTTTGGAATGGTGAAATGTGCAAATCAATGTTTTTTGATTTTATTAAAAAAATGGCTGTCATATTGATCTGCTGTTAACAAATTTGTTTGTAAAAATAATCAACTTAACTAGTTAAAAAAGTCAATGAAGTGATTATCCCAAAAATATTGCTTTAGCACACTGTTCACTCAAAACTAAATCTGAGTCAGTACAACATGTACAGTATATGTATCGTAGGTGTAGATTCGACCTGGCATGTTTTATGCAACAGTACCAACAATACCAACAAAAATATTGGTTTAGCAAATTTCTTCAAATTATTTTTTTCATGGATAAAATGCAAATTTAATTAAAAAATATTTTTTGGGGGAAATTTCATAATTTCTTAGATGTGACTTATGACATTTGGGATGCTTTTAGGGATAAGACATTTGCCATGTAAAACAATTTACAGATATGACATTTGACAGATGCAAAATATGATGCATGCAATATATGACATATGACATTAAAAAACACTCCCATTAAAAAAAATGTTCTTCATTTCTTTTTGTATGGAATGCAAATTTGATTGTTCACAAAGAAAACTTCTCATTTTTAGTTAATTCTGTAGAAAATAGTATCTTCCTTTAAGTAAAAAATAATTTGAAGAAATTTTTAACTCAAAACTAAATCTGAGTCTGTACAACATGTACTGTAAATGTATTCACTCGTAACATCCAGTCTGGACAAATAGGTGTAAACTTAGAGTCAACACCCAGCACATTTTATGCAACAAATGTAGACTTGCGAGGTCAAAGAGCCGGTTTTTAGTAATTTAAAAATTTATTTATATAAAGTGCTGGTTTTTTATTGTTGTTTATAGTACTATCAACAGTTCATTATCAGGGACCGAAGTTTGAAGAATTATGAGGCCTTTTTCTTATGATTTCAGGGGTTGAAGAAGAGAAGAAAGAAAAGAAGCAAGAAAACACCAAAGTATTTGTTCAACCTTGCTGGGTAAAGTTTATTGTGCCAGGTTAATTAACATTAAAATTTTAATATTTATGCAATGTCAAAGACAACATTTTTTTATGATGGGTAGCTTGGACTTATTTCTAAATTACAAACACTTTGGTCAAAATCCTAAACAGAATGAGGCTTTAACAGTCTAAATAAATAAATGAAATTTATTGCAACATGCAGAAATATGCCCAAATGATGTCTTATTAAAGCAAAAAGTATGTCAACTTTTAGTTTTCAAATTAAGTGAAAGTGTAACATAAGGTCTCTGAAAACATTTACCTTGCATGAAAGTGGAACGTTCAAATATTGTAGTTATATTACAAAAGTTTTAACCGTTTAGAAAAAATTTTTAAACAGGAAATGGAAAAGCGTAACGGAGCTTACTTTTTTCACTAACATTTACATTGTATAAGGTATTTAAGTGCAGGAAATCCAATATGTAACGTTACTCCATGCCATAAAATTTCATATTGTGCAATGTAACATTTCAAACGTTTATACTTTTGATGAACACATACATAACAAAAGCTAAAATCCAGAAAAATCAAAACGTTGACATCTCTAGTTTAATTCTATTTTTTTCTCAGTTATTGCCATCATCAGCCTGACATTTGCAGCACTGGCTGTATATCTTTTGGCCTGGAAAATCTACCATACAACCCATGGTAGTTCCATTATTATTTCAGTGAACTTCTAAATAACCAGGAATAATGTAAATTGTTTGATGGCTTTAAAACAAGAACATAGGTACCTTATTTTAGCAATTTTTTGTGTGAAAAAAATCACAGAGTACCCCAGTACTGTCATTTCCCAAATGTGGTCTACAATTTTTGAGCTTTCCGGAGATATGAATGATTTTGTTCAGAATGTTAAATCTCTGGTGTTTTTGAAAAAGACAGACTTAGGGCTATTTTGTATTTTTTGTTTCATATATAAATATTGCATAAATTATTGCTATAAGACATAGTTACTCCTATTCTCTTTGTTATTACGATATCTGGGACCTGGAGATTGATCAGTATGTAGCAAGAATTGGGGCCTAATGTAATATACATTGTTATTTGTTCACATAATTAATTAAGTAGGTATTTGCTATAAGTATGCTCCAGGATCTAATATAGGATAGACGTTTGAGCTTAGCTCAGTTTATCCAACTAAGGCTTAGGGACTTGTACTTGGGAAAACTAGGATATCCAGGACCCTGAGAACAGAGACGCCGCACATACCTGTTGTGGAACCACTAGTGGAACCAGATAATCCTGAGTACAAAGATGTCATTCATTGCAGAGCAGCTCTGTTCAAAACATATCTGTTGTAACAATAGCTGCAGGATACATAGGATAACTAAGGCTTCCAAGTCAAACAAGAGACTCTAAGGATAGCTCTGGGAGCTCTGTAAGAAGGGCTAACATAGCAGAGAATCTAGGCACAGCTCCGGGAGCAGCTTGAACTGTAAGTATGGCTAACAAAGCAGGAACAGCTCTGGGAGCAGCTCAGATTGAAAGAAAGGCTAACATAACTTGGACTCAAAGAGCAGATCTAGTGGTTAAAGAAGCACTGAAGGCCCAATAAGAGCATCCCAAATTGTACAAGCAACCAGGATAACAGACACTTGAGAGCAGCTGAACAAAATATCCTGATCTGTAGCAGCTGAATATCTAAAGGAACTTATTAAAACATGAATAAACGTTACATACGTATTTAATAAATAAACTATGAAACTGATAAAGAGGTTGTTAAGTAAAGGGATCAATACTAAAACTCAAGTACAGGGACATGAAATATTTGCATATGCATTACAAATGCCGCAAAATATTTCTAGAGTCAAAGATGACTTCAAAGTTGTCAATCAAATTATTTTATTTCATGTTGTTTAGATTAGCCATAAAGGCTCAGCTACATTTTGCTTAATTTAGTTTTGCTTAGTCACATTTTTCCTAGTAACATATTGCCTAGCTAGTCACATTTTGCTTGGATAACAGCTTACCTAGGTAACACATTGCCTAGGGTAACATATGAGCAAATTTTTTGCCTAGTTAGTAATTTTCTAACTGAACTAGGAAAATAAGTTACAAAAGCAAAATGTCACCTAGGCAAAACTGAAGTAGGCAAAATATGTCAAGGCAAATGTGACTTAGCAAAATGTTTTAGAAATTAGGTTTGAAAATAAACCAATTATGGCTCGGCAAGTTTTTTCCCCACTCATTAGTAGTTAGTTAAATTCAATTTATCTTTCAGCTAAATAGATTTCTGACTACTTGTAAACAAAATGTGGCAATATATTTCAAAACTTTGTCATGAAAATGAAAGACTATTTGTTTTAAATTACAAAAAATGCACATTTTAGTTTAAGCCGGACTACACAAAAAAATGTGCGTACATTGTCTGTCTGATAGTTACAAAATAAGAAAAATCCCCCTTTGAAAATAGATATATAATTAATGGGAAAAAAATGTTTACCTTCAGGAGAAATGAGGGAAGAATCAGTCGTTCTGCTAGGAGGAGACTATGGTAAATTAATAATCAGCTTTGAGATAAATACTCAAGTAAAACAAAATTATTTTAGAGAGTTGCAAAGAAAGTCATAATAGTGAAAGAAAAAATACAAAAGGAATTTTCTAAATACTGTTTATCGCTGCAGAAACTTATTTATGAAGTAATTGGCTATTTGTGTGGAATTCATCAATCAACATTAATACAATAATAATTTTTACAGGATGAAATATTGGAAATATGGGTAAACAGTCAACTATAAAGTTTTATCTTTATGACAGGATGATTGATATCCTGTTAAAATGATGAAATGGTTGTAAATTGGAAATATGGCTAAACAGTCAACTATAAAGTTTTATATTTATACAAGATGATTGATATTCTGTTTAAATGATGAAATGGTTGTAGATTGGCAATATGGCTATACAGTCAACTATAAAGTTTTATTTTTATTGATATCCTGTTAAAATGATGAAATGGTTGTAAATTGGCAATATGGCTAAACAGTCAACTATAAAGTTTTATCTTTATGACAAGATGATTGATATCCTGTTAAAATGATGAAATGGTTGTAAATTGGCAATATGGCTAAACAGTCAACTATAAAGTTTTATATTTATGACAAGATGATTGATATCCTGTTAAAACGATGAAATGGTTGTAAGTTGGCAATATGGGTAAACAGTCAACTATAAAGTTTTATCTTTATGATAGGATGATTGATATCCTGTTAAAATGATGAAATGGTTGTAAATTGGCAATATGGCTATACAGTCCACTATAAAGTTTTATCTTTATGACAGGATGATTGATATCCTGTTAAAATGATGAAATGGTTGTAAATTGGAAATATTGCTAAACAGTCAACTATAAAGTTTTATATTTATGACAAGATGATTGATATTCTGTTTAAATGATGAAATGGTTGTAGATTGGCAATATGGCTATACAGTCAACTATAAAGTTTTATTTTTATTGATATCCTGTTAAAATGATGAAATGGTTGTAAATTGGAAATATGGCTAAACAGTCAACTATGAAGTTTTATATTTATGACAAGATGATTGATATTCTGTTTAAATGATGAAATGGTTGTGAATTGGCAATATGGGTAAACAGTCAACTATAAAGTCTTATCTTTATGACAGGATGATTGATATCCTGTTAAAATGATGAAATGGTTGTGAATTGGAGATATGGGTAAACAGTCAACTATAAAGTTTTACATTTATGGCAAGATGATTGAAATCCTCTTAAAATGATGAAATGGTTGTAAATTGGCAATATGGGTAAACAGTCAACTATAAAGTTTTACATTTATGACAGGATGATTGATCTCCTGGTGAAATTAAGCTAAAATTACTATTTTGATTTTTATATAAAAAACCCAAATATTGAAAATAATTTTAGATGTCATTAGATAAATGTGAATAAACCCAGTATAAGTATGTACCGGTAAAAAAATTATATCAAAGTTTATGCTACAAAGTTTTTAATGAGGAATGTGACACAAAATTCTGTGTAATTTTTGATTTAGTTGAAATGATATGGTATTTATAACATCTTATTTTGACCATTTCAATTCAAATTCTTTATATTAAAACAGTATTTGGGGAGTGTAACTCAAAAATTATATAATCACAAGTTTAACTTACCAGTATTATTTTCAATGTCTGGCTGTATTTCTGCATGAAACAGTGATGTGATTGTGAGTGTGTGTGCAATGTCTTTATAACATATAGCATTTTCAAAATATACTTTGTATTTAAATATATAACTGTGATGTGGCAAAAACGGTCAACCTGGTCAAATCAGTCAAAATGGTTAAAGTAGTCAAAATACTTGAATTAACCATTTTCTTCACAATTTGTTTTCAGGCATCACTGAGAGTTATCCTTGCAATTTGTCGATTCCAGACGTACCAAATAGTAGCTATGCTCCAGGTAGGTCAAAGAATTTGTTTAAGTTTTACCCCAACTGTAGTCTGTAGGAGCAACTATTTGTGGGTAATAATGACTGCAAGAATGTTCCTAGTTCTTGTATTTCCAGCATTCTGACACAAGAAATTAATCTGTGTCTAAAATTCCACTAATTAAGCAGAAAATCATAAGTTTCCAGAGTGGATGATTCTAATAAAGATTTGTATACTCTTTTCTCTCACTTTTCAAACTTAACAATAATCAACTAATTCCTTCCAAAATGTCCTCTTCATCCGTTAACATTTTTATCCACTAAATTTCTTATCCTCCATAGTTTTATGTACACATATTTTATTATTTCTGTATCTTTATTCTGAACTTCTATATTTTGCTCATTCTCTTTCCAATGCACTGATCCCCATAAAACATTTTTTCATTACTCAATCTTCCCAATTACTCCAACTCCCACTTTACCAACCCTTTTTATCATCCCAACATTGGTTGACATTTCTTTGGGATTCTTATAGTTTGGGATTTCACATTATAAAATCAGAAAGAAATGTTTTATATTATTGCCAACATTTTACATGACAAATAACAATTAGCAAACAAAAAAATTATGATTTAATGATGTATTATTGTTTCATGAATGCTTTTTTAGAACACCTTTAATATAACAAGTTATATCTAGTAGCTGGAATTCTATCTTTTCTCTAACTACGTGGTTTTAAATTGTTGGCTTGGTTTAGGGGTGGTTATATCCCAAAACAAGCATTATCAATTTAATGATGTATCAATTTATCAATTTGTTGTATAATCTTAATCTTTGTATGTTTATTTAGTGAATGGTTATTTACTATTTTTACCCTGAAATTGAACCAGGATTTTTGGTAATACAAGTTAGACCAGCATTTAAGTAACATCAAAAATGTAGTAAGATATCTTAAGAATCCGAGACTGGCCCTCTTGCCAAGGAGATTGCAATCATCTACCTGTTAAATGAACAATAAACCAGAAACAATTAAATAACTCATTGAATCACATTTAAGATATTCAGAGAGAGGAAAGATTCAAGCTACTAATTAATCTTTTCATTTTCCCATAAAATACTATCAAAAGAGAATATCCTTCTTCCACAAAAAGCATGAAAACTGTGCAAATATTATAAGCATGCAAACTAATTGTTGCACTTTCTTCTGCAAACATTGCTCAATAGTTTTGTGATTTAAAAATACAGTCTTAGCTCTTAGAACCCTTCTTTAAGTTAATAAGCAAGGTAAATTGACTCTGCACTAGGAGCAGCAGTACTAAAAGGGGTTATTTACTACTGTGGGGGACGGTTGGATGGTGTCATCAGGTAACCAAGCTATTAGCTTAATCTGTCATGTCTATAATGTATTTTGTTTCTTACTAGACTTACAAAGGAATACTTCTATGTTATAATTCTAGATACATAAGAATAGATTGTTTATGCAGACTATAAAGCTGAAAATTGTACAACCCCTTATACATCATGAACTCGTCATACAAAAAGGTCAATGAATATGTTTTACTTCTTGGGGTCAATCTGTAGAAAACAAATTTTAGCTGATCAGTATCTTGTCATTCTGAATTGTGTTCCCGAACGAGTGGATCACTAAGACAAACTCCTCTGCAAGGAGAAAACGTCCAAGGAACCGTGACGAGCACGTAGTATCAGCCAAGAGACGATGAACATGAAAAGACCGAAATCTTGTTTTTTTTCCACTATCCTAGATTATGTAGCCTCAATATTAACAAGGAACCATCAATGTTCCTCATTATGAAGCTAACACCAATATTTTTTATTATAAAAAAACTCGCACCCCTGCATGTTTATGTGAAAACATGCATAAGAGTTATTCATTGCATATTCCTATAAACGATAGCACACATTGTTTATGTCTTGTTTTCATTTCAAATCACGCACAAGTATGCTATCTTACTATATAACATGAAATTTTTTCTCTGGAACTGCTGTTTTGTCTATATTTGAATAGAGAACGATGTTCTTCAATTTCACGCAATCTAACTACAAAAAAGAGAACTCTTGTTAATTCCATAGTCCAAAATTCTTGAAAAAGTTTTTTTTTCTCCTAAGAATATATATGTAATACGAATTTTGGAAAAAAAATGTATCCGTAAACTAAAGGATTCTTCTTAAACTAAAATACAAATGTATTAACATGCAACTATTGTAAAATAGCTTTTGCAAAATTAAAACAAACAATTTTGTATCTTTATTATAATCTCAATACAGAGATAATAAACATCTAGATCTTAAAAAAGAAATGTAATTATTTATACTGGTCATCTATTTAAAACAAAACACTGTTACCCCATACATTTGAACGGAGTATGTACAACTCAATGTACTGTATGGATGTAGCTAGTACAGAACTGAATTCATGTTTTCAATTTCATCTGAAACACTCCAATATGTTGAAGACGACAAAACATTAGGGTTCTAATGCTCACTGAGAATTTGAAACACCTTAAATTATGGTATTACTCATATTATCTTTAAACCCCATACTGTAGGAATGAGTGCTACAAGTACATGGGAGGAAGTTGGGTCCCTGCACCTTCTATGAAGGAATCTAGACAATATTTTACAATGACATCCTTTGATGACGTCATTCTTGTAACAGGAGGGGATTCACGCTCAACGTAAGAATAATTAATTTTAAAAACATATGATGGATACTGGACATTCAGTCTAAATCCTTACTTTGCATTTTGCATGCACATATTCAGTCTCCAGCATCAGAGAAAAGAAAAAAACACCATTTGACAAAACATAGATTCTACTTTATTGAGTTTTTGAGGGGTTGTGATTTTTCATCAGTTTTTGGGGAATTTATTTAGGACACTTTATAAGATTTCAAATATTTGTTGATGAAAGGAAAAAAATTTAATGTTTAAGTGCTTTTACAGTAACACATAAAATTCACTTTTTTAACATATTGAAAACTCACATTTTAAAAACATTTTTCCTTCTCCATGAAATGATCCAATTTTTGGCTCTGATGTGAAAATATGACAAACTGAGAAGTCAGGAGGCTTAGTTCAACACTTACTTGTTCTTTAGACTTGTAAATTGTTACACTGGATCAGATCATGCACAATTGGACCCATGCATGTTTTATTTTATGTCTTTTTCAATCCTTTTCTTTTGTTGTAGGGAAATGGGAAAATCAAAATCCATTGAGATATTTGATGGATATACCTGGACACTTTTAGAACAAAACCTGTCATTTGGAAGAGCTGGTCATTGTCCTGTTAGAATCAGGAACTATGATTTTACCAAAATTCTGCGATAATCCATTATTTCTAATTTTTTGAACATGAAGAAATCTTTAAATCAGATTGTATGATGTGAAATTTCCACATTCTCAAATTTCAATTCGTAATTTCAAGCATCCCTGCAAGTCAAAATTCCAATATGCCTTATTCACAACGATGCCCTTTAAAGCTTTGCCTGTTCAAGTATGAATTAAATATATCAATTGTTTATAATTTTAAACTTTTCTACTGACACTAAGAAATAAGTAAGTAATTTTTTATTTCTTTAGTAAGTAAGTATCAAATAAACCACTTTCAAACCTGGAAAAACAACAATTTCTTCCACATTATTGATCAGATAAAGTTTTCAAGTGTGCCATTATAAAATAGGAATTGCCATTTTGCATGGAGGGTCACTTGAAATTATACTTTATTAATTTTTTAATTTGTTTACTACTTTTAGTGACTCTACAGTATTACTCATTGGAGGATACATCTCAAATAACACTGATATTTCGACAATAGAGCTCTATGACTTTTCTGGGATTCTTTTAGCCACTCTTCCAGATATGCCTACACCTAGGTATTAAAAACTGCAAAATCATGTTTTATTAAGTAAAATAATGCTATTTCCATGTATTTTCTCCATGCATCATTTATTATGATTCTATCATCTTGATTCTGTTGCATGCATGACATAATAATTTAGTTCTCTTGTGCACTGTATTTAAACATTTGTTAAATATCCTTTTAGAGAGATAAATTATCCCACAAGGAGATTCAGCTGCCTTTTAAAATCAGAAGTATTTTGAAGAAATTTTAGTTTTTGGCCATGGAAGTAAAGTGCACTAAGCACCTTACCATGCAATAATTAATCTGAGAAAAATTTTAATTTTTTTAAACTTTCTGAAAAAAACATTTTCCAAAAGAAAATGAAATTTTGTCAAATTATACTTTTTATATATGTTTAGAACTGGAGCAGGGTGCTCTTTGTTCCAGAATGAAATCTATGTATCAGGTGGCTCCTTGGGCGGGTATATCAAACAAACTGTTGAGGTTTACAATCTTGAAGGCCGAGTTTGGAGAAACATCCAGTTAATGAAACGGCACCGATATTTACCCATCATGGCAGTTGTCAATGGTAACCTAAGTGTTTATGGAGGACAAGGAAGCCCAAGCTCGAGTATGGAAGTTTACACTGAAGAAGGTTGGGTTGAAAGTAGTATGAAGTATAATCATGATGGTCATGCTGGTGTGATAGTTGTCTGCAATTAAAATATTCATATTGTTATACCTAGACAGTAAATACATTTATTTTCTACTTTATACTGATGATTTTTTAATTTATGAAATTTTATCACAAACATGACTAAGTTGTCTCCTTTACCATATTTTCCTTTATTAGAAACTGCGATGAATTCATTGGAAAATCCACCAATGATGGCATTGTAAGATCTATGCACAACACTGGGAAACCCCATTTTGTTCTACACTATCACAAGACAACTTCACGTTTTGATTACAATGTCAGGGATATAAACAGCTGTGAGATATCCTTAACATTGTGTTCAAGATTTTGAACAAACATTTATAAGTTCAAACAAAATGAAAAGTGCACCTTTCCTCCCTCCTGAGCAGGATGTATTCCTGTATCCCACATATACTGCCTAATGCTTGTACATGCTACGATCAAACTCAAGAGGATGGGTTTGATATCATTGTGGAGTGCTCTGGGTATCCTTCAGCACTGCAGAACATGTGAATTGTTTGTTATTTTTATTTGATTTAACATTTAGATTTTACATCAAAAATAATTTTCTCTAATATGGGACTTATTCTTTTCCCATTCTAGGAAATGCTTCTTTAAATCCACATACCATTCTTGTCCCTTGTGTCCGCAATCCCTTGAAATTTGTTCTTCTTTTTCTTCATTATCACAGGAAACTAGTTGGCGGTCTAGTATTGCTTTTATCTCGATTTCCTGTAGTGGTTCTTCCACCATTAAAAAAATGCATGTTTCCATCAACTCTTCATCATACAGTCCCATGATCATTTAATCTTTTAATTCAAGCAGACTTCTCTTGGCTGGAGGGTGCTTCGACATCTTCTCTATTTCTATTTGCTCTATGGCCATTTGCTCTAGTTCCATTTGATCTATCAAGTCATTTGCTCTATACGTCATTTGCTCTATACGTCATTTGCTCTATATTCAATCTGCTCTATGACTAAACACGTCATTTGCTCTATAACATAAAAATACACTATAAAATAGCTTTTATTGGAATTCCTGAGCGTAACTTGACTATGAAATGCGGGATTTTTTTTTGGAAAATNGCTATTGGTGTGGAATTCATCAATCAACATAAATACAATAATAATTTTTACAGGATGAAATTGTTATAAATTGGAGATATGGCTAAACAGTCAACTATAAAGTTTTATCTTAATGACAGGATGATTGATATCCTCTTAAAATGATGAAATGGTTATAAATTGGCAACATGGGTAAACAGTCAACTATAAAGTTTTATCTTTATGACAGGATGATTGATATCCTCTTAAAATGATGAAATGGTTATAAATTGGCAATATGGCTAAACAGTCAACTATAAAGTTTTATATTTATGACAGAATGATTGATATCCTGGTGAAATAAAGCTAAAATTATTATTTTGATTTTTTTATAAAAAACCCAAATATTGAAAATAATTTCAGATGTCATTAGATAAACGTGAATTCAGACCATATGTACCGGTAAAAAAATGCTACAAAGTTTATGCTACAAAGTTTTTAATGAGGAATATGACACAAAATTCTGTGTAATTTTTGATTTAGTTGAAATGATATGGTATTTATGACATCTTATTTTGACCATTTCAATTCTAATTCTAAGTCTTTATATTAAAACAGTATTTGGGGAGTGAGTTACCAGCATTATTTTCAACGTCTGGCTATATTTTTGCATGAAACAGTAATGTGATTGTGAGTGTGTGTGCAATGTCTTTATAACATATAGCATTTTCAAAATATTCTTTGCATTTAGATATATAACTGTGAAGTGGCCAAAAACGGTCAATTTGTTTTCAGGCATCACTGAGAGTTATCCTTGCAATTTGTCGATTCCAGACATACCAAAGAGTGGCTATGCTCCAGGTAGGTCAAAGAAGTTTTACCCCAACTGTAGTCTGTAGGAGCAACTATTTGTGGGTTATAATGACTGCAAGTATGTTCCTAATTCTTGTATTTCCAGCATTCTGACACAAGAAATTAATCTGTGTCTAAATTCCACTAATTAAGCAGAAAATCATAAGTTTCCAGAGTGGATGATTCTAATAAAGATTTGTATACTCTTTTCTCTCACTTTTCAAACTTAACAATAATCCACTAATTCCTTCCAAAATGTCCTCTTCATCCGTTAACATTTTTATCCACTAAATTTCTTATCCTCCATAGTTTTATGTACACATATTTTATTGTTTCTGTATCTTTGTTCTGAACTTCTATATTTTGCTCATTCTCTTTCCAATGCACTGATCCCCATAAAACATCTATTCATCACTCAATCTTCTCAATTATTCCAACTCCCAATTTACCAACCCTTTTTATCATCCCAACATTGGTTGACATTTCTTTGGGATTCTTATAGTTTGGGATTTCACATTATAAAATCAGAAAGAAATGTTTTATATTATTGCCAACATTTTACATGACAAATAACAATTAGCAAACAAAAAAATTATGATTTAATGATGTATTATTGTTTCATGAATGCTTTTTTAGAACACCTTTATATACGCCAGTTATATCTAGTATCTGGAATACTATCTTTCTCTAATTGGCTCTAATTGTTGGCTTGGTTTAGGGGTGGTTATATCCCAAAACAAGCATTATCAATTTAATGATGTATTAATTTATCAATTTGTTATTTAATTTAAATCTATGTATGTTTATTTAGTGAATGGTTATTTACTATTTTTACCCTGAAATTGAACCAGGATTTTTGGTAATACAAGTTAGACCAGCATTTAAGTAACATCAAAAATGTAGTAAGATATCTTAAGAATCCGAGACTGGCCCTCTTGCCAAGGAGATTGCAATCATCTACCTGTTAAATGAACAATAAACCAGAAACAATTAAATAACTCATTGAATCACATTTAAGATATTCAGAGAGAGGAAAGATTCAAGCTACTAATTAATCTTTTCATTTTCCCATAAAATACTATCAAAAGAGAACATCCTTCTTCCACAAAAAGCATGAAAACTGTGCAAATATTATAAGCAGGCTGCACTTTTATCTGCAAACATGGCTCAATAGTTTTGTGATTTAAAATACAGTCTTAGCTCTTAGAACCCTTCTTTAATTAGAATAAGCAAGGTAAATTCAGTAGGGTTTCCAACATAATAGATTATTCTCTTATGTTGTTGTATTTCAGATTGTTCTTAATAAGAGTGAACAGTCCTTTGAATACAACTGGATACCAGGGATCAGTACAACCCGAGCCATAGCAGTAGACACAAGTCTCCTGCACACTACCACTCTGGGTCCTGTGCTACATACAGCAAACAGACAGCATACAGAGGGAACCTAACTGGACGAGCTACTTAGATGAAGATGAATCCAGCTTACACCAATGAAGCTGCTATAGATGAAGATATGGAGGAGGAGACTGAAGTCCTGGTGCAAACCATGCAGGAGGTGATGGATAAGTTAGCAGAGCTGAACCAGGAGCTGGAGAGTATGGTGTCCTCTACTATGAAGGACACAAGCACCCAAGATCCCCTTGTAGACCCCAACGTCAATGCATGGGATGCAAGGAAGGCCTGGGAGCGGTAGTTTAGACTTCATCCTGAAGCTAACAGGGATGAGGTATGCTCCAGGATTTATGTTCAGGTTGGGAAGCTGCTCCACAGATTACAGGAGCAGGCTGACCAGCATACCTGGAATAGAGATGATAAATACATGATGGATGGATTAGCAAATATAGTAGTTCTACACTTCAGATTGTATAAACTAACTGAGGGAGCTACTAAGGGACCTAAGTTGTAAAGGAACCATGGCTGATCATTAAACCATCTAGTTATCTCTATTTAATATAATGTATGCATTTATGATTATGTACATAAATGTATTAACATTGTAGAAAATAAGTTTATTACTTTGGGTGTTAATTATTGCACGAGCAAATAGTTATATAAAGGTTTACTCTGCATGATAGAGATAGCCTAAAGTATAATTTTGCCAGGTTGCAAAGATAACAGCAACGCATGAGGGTTAGGTCCGAGTATTGGAAATAACCTGATCTGCAATGTTGTCAGGTTGCAAAGATAATAGATCTAATACAAGTACAATAACTTGAAGTGTGATCTTATCAAAGTTTGCTAATTAAGTTTGCCAATTTATTGCACATTTTTAGTAGTAAGAGAATACTACAACGTGTAATCACATGCAGTTACGCGTAATAATTTTCATTTCGTGTAATTTTGCATGATTACACATAATTGGGGAAATATCCATTTCGCAAAATTATGGGGTAATTTCGCGTAATTACTACAACGTAATTTTGCAAAATTTTGTACTGATTACGCGTTATAAGCGAAACTATAATTACGTGTAATTACGGCATAATTTTGCGTAATTTCTACCTGGTAATTTCGTAAAATTTTTTATAAATTATGCGTAATTACCGAAACTTTAATTTCAGCCATACTATGTTGATGTAATTTTCACGTTCGACAACTAAAAAGCTTAACAAAGGGCCAACAATTTATTTTTATCAAAAAAATACATAATCTATAAATTTTCAATTTTCGACGACTTGTTAATATTTCAACCTACTTTCTCAAGTTTACCTTCCTTGTTTGAAAAAAATGTCAATAAAATCTTCAAAATATGTTTAACATGGTTGTATCCTTACACATACTTTCCCGCTATAAATATTTCTGAGAACTAATATGTACTTTATTTATTACGAAATTGTTTTGTATTACGTAATTTCGCGAAATTACGCATTAATTACGTGAAACTAGACTTTCTTTCGTAAACGTAATAAACGCGAAATTAGGCATAATGCTCCTGCGTAAGTGAAAGAAAGTGTTACGCGTAATTACATGTAACGTAATTACGACTGGAAACCCTAGTAAATTGACTCTGCACTAGGAGCAGCAGTACTAAAAGGGGTTATTTACTACTGTGGGGGAATGTTGGATCGTGTCATCAGGTAACCAAGCTTAGTGTTACAATGTATAGTATTACTTTGAGGTTTTAATCCTAGATACATTAGAATAAAATAAAAGGCTGAAAATTGTACAACCCCTTGTATATCATGAACTCGTCATACAAAAAGGTCAATGAATACGTTTTACTTCTCGTGGTCAATCTGTAGAAAACAAATTTTAGCTGACCAGTATCTTGTCATTCTGAATTGTGTTTATTTATACTGGTCCTCTATTTAAAACAAAACACTGTTACCCCATACATTTAAACGGAGTATTTACAATACTTGCCACAACTCAATGTACTGTATGGAGGTAGCTAGTACAGAGCTAAATCATGTTTTCAATTTCATCTGAAACACTGCAGTATGTTGAAGACGACATAAAATTAGGGTTCTAACGCTAACTGAGAATTTAAAACAGCTTAAATTATGGTTTTACTCATTTTATCATTAAGCCCCATACTGTAGGAATGAGTGCTACAAGTACATGGGAGGAAGTTGGGTCCCTGCACCTTCTATGAAGGAATCTAGACAATATTTTACAATGACATCCTTTGATGACGTCATTCTTGTAACAGGAGGGGATTCACGCTCAACGTAAGAATAATTAATTTTAAAAACATATGATGGATACTGGACATTCAGTCTAAATCCTTACTTTGCATTTTGCATGCACATATTCAGTCTCCAGCATCAGAGAATCATGGAAAAGAAAAAAACACCATTTGACAAAACATAGATTCTACTTTATTGAGTTTTTGAGGGGTTGTGATTTTTCATCAGTTTTTGGGGAATTTATTTTGAAGGACACTTTATAAGATTTCAAATATTTGTTGATGAAAGGAAAAAAATTTAATGTTTAAGTGCTTTTACAGTAACACATAAAATTCACTTTTTTAACATATTGAAAACTCACATTTTAAAAACATTTTTCCTTCTCCATGAAATGATCCAATTTTTGGCTCTGATGTGAAAATATGACAAACTGAGAAGTCAGGAGGCTTAGTTCAACACTTACTTGTTCTTTAGACTTGTAAATTGTTACACTGGATCAGATCATGCACAATTGGACCCATGCATGTTTTATTTTATGTCTTTTTCAATCCTTTTCTTTTGTTGTAGGGAAATGGGAAAATCAAAATCCATTGAGATATTTGATGGATATACCTGGACACTTTTAGAACAAAACCTGTCATTTGGAAGAGCTGGTCATTGTCCTGTTAGAATCAGGAACTATGATTTTACCAAAATTCTGCGATAATCCATTATTTCCAATTTTTTGAACATGAAGAAATCTTTAAATCAGATTGTATGATGTGAAATTTCCTCATTCTCAAATTTCAAATCGTAATTTCAAGCATCCCTGCAAGTCAAAATTCCAATATGCCTTATTCACAACGATGCCCTTTAAAGCTTTGCCTGTTCAAGTATGAATTAAATATATCAATTGTTTATAATTTTAAACTTTTCTACTGACACTAAGAAATAAGTAAGTAATTATTTATTTCTTTAGTAAGTAAGTATCAAATAAACCACTTTCAAACCTGGAAAAACAACAATTTCTTTCACATTATTGATCAGATAAAGTTTTCAAGTGTGCCATTATAAAATAGGAATTGCCATTTTGCATGGAGGGTCACTTGAAATTATACTTTATTAATTTCTTAATTTTTTTACTTATTTTAGTGACTCTACAGTGTTACTCATTGGAGGACAGAACTATAACAAAACTATTCTTTCGACAATAGAGCTCTATGACTTTACTGGGATTCAATTAGACACTCTTCCAGATATGCCTACACCTAGGTATTGCAAAACTGTAAAATCATGTTTTATTAAGTAAAATAATGGTATTTCACTGTATTTTCTCCATGCATTATTGGCATCATAGCTTACTAATAAAAACCTATAATTCTATTATGATTCTATCATTTTGATTCTATCACATGTGTGATATAAAAATTCAGTTATCAGGTGCCCTGTATTAAAACATTCGTTGAATATCTTAATCTAGAGATAAATTATCCCACAACAAGATTGCACTGTCTTTAAAATCAAAAATATTTCTTACAAATTTTAGTTTTGGGCCAGGGATATAAAGTGCAATTTGCCCTTTACTCAATTTAGGTGGGAGTGAATTTTAAATTTTCTTCACAAAATTAGGCGTTTGTCAATTCCTATGTTAAAACAATTCTAAGAACAATTTCTTTTTTTGACACTTTTTGATTGGAAGTTGTCTTCTTTAGCTAACTGGCACTGCAAGTTTTGGCCTTTTTTCCCTTTTTTCTGAGATTTGTGATTTTATAGTACACAAGAAAATGCTTTCAATGATTAAGGTGATTTTTTATGTAAAAAAAACTATTCTAAGAGCAAATTCTTTTTTGACATTTTAATAGATTGGAAGTCGTTTTCATTACCTAACTGGCACTGTGAGTTTTTACCTACTCTTTTTCTGAAATCTGTTATTTTACAATAAACAAGCATTATGCTTTCAATATTCACAGGAATAGTCATTTCTACTGTAAAAATTATTTTAAAAACAATCTCTTTTGTGATACTTATTGATTGGAGGTCGTCTTCTAAAGCTAACTGGCATTGAAATTTATGACTGACATTTTTTGGATCTGTGTGCCATTTAGCATAAGAAGACAACAACAGAAGATGTTTTTAGAATTGTTTTTAACATTAGAAGTGACTATCGCCGTAATGATTGGAAGCATATTGCATGCATATTGTGAAATAAACAATCTCAGAATAGAGTACAGTTGGGTAAAGAATTGCAGTGGCAGTTAGCTAACAAAGACGATTTTCAATCAGACAGTGTCACCAAAGAAATTGTTCTTAGAAATTTGTTAAACATTAAAATTGACTATCACCATATAATAATGGGAAGCATATTGCATGCTTATTGTGAAATAATAGATTTCTGAAAAAGAATATATACAAGTCAAAACTTACAGTGCCAGTTAGCTAACAAAGACGACCTTGAATCAAAGACTGTCATAAAAGAATTTGTTCTTAACATTGTTTTTTTTTGGACTATTGGCATTATCATTGGAAGCATTTAGCTTGTGTACTGCGAAATCAAAGTTCTCAGAAAAAGACTAAAAGGTTGAAACTTGCAGTGGCACAAAAGAAATTGTTCTTAGAATTATTTTTTACATAAGAATTGACTACTGCTGTAATAATTTTCAGCAAATTGTTTAATTTTTTGAAAATTCACTCCCCTCTACTACTCATGCATGCAGAATTGATCTGAAATAAAATATTTTCTAAAGGAGTGGAGCAGGGTGCTCTTTGTACCAGAATGAAATCTATGTAGGCGGTGGCTTTGAACTCCCTGGGGACTACTGGAAACTACTGAAAACTGTTGAGGTTTACAATCTTGAAGGCCAAGTTTGGAGAGAAGTCCAGTTAATGAAACAGCCAAGATATTTACCCACCATGGCATTCGTCAATGGTAACCTTGCTGTTTATGGAGGACAAGAAAGCCCAAGCTCAAGTATGGAAATTTACACTGAAGAAGGTTGGGTTGAAATTAGTATGAAGTATAATCATGCTGGTCATGCTGGTGTGATAGTTAAATGTAATTAAAAAATATAACTTTTTTGCCTACATAGTAAATACATTTGTTTTCTACTTTAAACTGATGATTTTTTTTATTTTATGAGAACCAAACTTTCTGATACAACCAGGATCAGATTTCTACATCTTCGACATTAAAGTTACTTTGTGAAAGTTATTAATTATTAAGATTAATAAAATAGAAAACTAGACTTTCAGAGCGCTTAGCGTCCATTTTCTATTTCAATTGTGAACATGTTCTCTTTGAATACATAGTAAAACAAAAACAAACAAAAATTTCAAGAATTTTATAAAAAGTTTTCTTTGATTTTCAAAATTTTCAGAAATCAAATGTTGTTAGAGGCAAATTTTTGAAAATTTGATCATTCAAAAACCTTCCTTGGGGTCACGCAAGTCTCACAAAAAGTGTGGTCCTGATCGGTTCAACTATTTTTACGTTTAATGGATACAAACAGGCAAACAAATAAACAGACACCCAAGCAAAGTATATAAATAGATATTTTGATGTGCAGGAGGAGCAGGGTAATTTTTAGATTGTCAAAAGTTTATAACAGTTTAAATTAATACCCTAAACCCAATGGATTTATATAATAGATATATCATAGACAAGTTTTGATGTAATTTTCACGGTAGGGTGTCATGCAGTACATTAAACACTGGATCCTAAACATGCAATTTGTCTTTGATTTTCGTAAAGTTGACAGATGTCAAAGAAGTATAGAAAAACATTGTAAGTATTTAAACATGGTAAAATTTAGCCTCCTTCTTTGTATCTTATAAAAACTGTTGAAGACATTGAATATTTAAACAACCTGGGTTGTATTCAATATTTGAAAATTTAGTAAAATTTCTAAGTAACTCTTTATTTTTAAGATACAAACTGCACACCACATTTTAGAAATCCCAAACATGGGGCAGTTTTAAGGCTGCTCATCTCTTGAGAGGCAATTTATTATTTACAAGATATTAACTACAGTATCTTATTTTTAGTAACAAGTTTATCTTTATCCAATAATTTTCATTGATTTATAAAAATAATAAATGTCAAAAAGTTTTTAAGGCAACATTTTTCAAATTTGACCTTTTACCAGAACCAATTGCAAAGTTATGCAAAACACCTTGAAAACATTAAAATGTATCAATACTGTGGAAGATTAAAGAGCAAATGTTGGGGAAATCTCAAAACTATGTGTGTAGGTATTATCAGCTTACATGTCACATAAATAAAGGATGGTCAACGAGTTTTAGTATTTATTTCTTTAGGTATTATTAAAATATACATATTTTTAGATATAATATTATGCAATTTTAAGGACACATGAAAATCTTCTAGAATAAAACTAATAAGAATATTAATAAAGCTGAAAGGTTTCCATACCATTGCTCTGGTGAAGGAATAACTCCTAGATTTAAACTTTGTAGTACACTTTGTTTACCAATAGTACACTTTGTTTACCAATAGT